TGGCTGAACGCCATTGATGCCATCTTGAAATTCTTAATAATTTGTTGACAAGGAGCCCTGTGTTTTCCTTTTGTACTGGGTCCCCAATTATGTTCCTGGTGGCAGGAACAACAGATGGTCAAGACTAGATGAAGACCCCAGTTCCCTGCTGATGCGCTGGGATACTCAGAACAAACTCCTCCTCTCTCCTCTGAACCTCAGCTTCCTCATCTGCCACAGAGCGAAGTGCACAGACTAGATCAGCCTTTTCCTTCAGGGCCAGAGCGGGAACATTTTAGGCTTATAGGCCATGCAGTCTCTGTTAAAATTGCTCAGCTCTGTCATTTTAGCTCTTCAGTGCTGTTGTTTAGTCGCTAAGTCATGTCCGACTCTTCTGTGACCCCATGGACTGTAACCTGCCAGGCTCCTTCTGTCCATGGGATTCTCCAGGCAAGAATACTGGAGGGGGTTGCCATTCCCTTCTCCAGGGGATCTTCCCGACCCAGAGATCCCATCTGCGTCTCCTGCATTGGCAGGCGGATTCTCTACCACTGAACCACCAGGGAAGCCCTAGATCTTCAGTAGCCATAGTATGACAAACATATGGGGAAGTCTGTGTTCTGCTTACACTGCCTACAAACTCAGGCTGACACCTGAATTAGGTGATCTCCTGGAGAGAGGGACGAGTGGGTGAAGACTGGCCACCAGGGGCCGCTGTGGGGCTGCTGCAAGGCTGAGGTTTGCACTGGGAGAAGGGGTGTGGTACAGAAGGTTGCCCAGCACATTGAAGGCTAAAGCCTCCACGTAAATAGCTCCTATCAAACAGCCTCTAGACTGAGGAGCTGGGCAGGATTCAAATGTGGGCAGGCTCACTTCACAGCCCCAGTCCTTAACCTCCGAGTCAGGGGACCACGCTGCTGCCTCGTGGAGTCTCTGGGTCCCAGGGAGGAGTGAGCCTTGGGCCATGCGCCATCCCTCTCTCCTTCTCTCTCAAGGGCCAGCTGGTGCAGTGCAGGAGATGGGCACACACAGGCACACAGTGGGGTGACAGAAAAAAGCACAGAGGGGCCACCCACCAAAGGCCAGTCCTAGCTGCGGCGGGAAGGAGGGAAAGAAGCCGGAGCAGGCTCTGGGGGCCAGTCAGACACTTCCACTTCTTCAGGGAATCCAGGGGTTCCTTGCAAAACCAGCCCTCTGAGGCTCAAAATGTAGGCAGGGAGGACAGAAGCCCACCCACCTTGGTGAGCTCCTGCTGCAGCTGCTGCCACTGCTCGTTGTAGGTTTTGCGCAGTTGCTGGCGTTCCCGGATCAGCAGGCTCAGCTTGCTCAGGGGCCCTGAGTTCAGGTCCTCCGCGTGCTGCCTCAGCACCCGGCTCAGGCCCTCTGTCTGGCTGGTGAGCTCTGTCCAGGACTGCAGTGGGGAGGGGCAGGCAAGGCAGGGAGTGGGGAACCTCGCTTGTGAGGTGGGTGTGCCAAATCTCCAGCCCTCCCCAGCGGGGGGCTCCAGGAAATGGAAGGGGCAGGCGGACCTACCCAAGCACCCACAGGAATTTGATGATGGAGGGCGGGGAGAGGGGGGAGTCTAGAGTCCCACCTGACTGATGGGGCTGTGGGGGCCGATGCCCCGGCTCTGGCCCCCGCTGTCCTGCAGGGACATGTGGTGAAGCAGCCCGGCATATTCCCTGTCGCTCTTGACCCGCTGGGCCATCCACTTCCTCATGCCCTCCAGCAGCCGGAGCTCGGCCTCCTGCATCTGCTGCACGGCCCCGTGGCCCTGGGGGCTGCACAGCTCCGAAGAGAAGCCCATAGTGTCGTCCTGGGGATGGAGAGAGGAGAGGCCACCACTGGGGGCGAGTAGCTGGAGATGGACAGAGGGGCGGGACAGGGAGGAGAGGGGCTGAAGAGCCACAGATAGGCAGAAGGTGGACGCCTGTCCCCCTGGAATGCAGTGATGGGTACGAAACACCGCCTGGCCTGGGAGAGCCATCAGTGTTTCCCTGTGTCCCAGGTGGAGGCCTGATGCCGGTGGTCCCCTCCCCAGGCCTGGAACAGAAACCTCCCAGTCTCCCTCCCTGGATCCTTCCACCCAGCTCCCGCTGCAGGTGCAAGATGTGCACTGGGCCCTCAACAGAGCCAAGGCTGCCCTTGCAGGCACCCCAGGCGGCCACCCCCCCCACCCCCACCCCCAGTCCCTACCCTCCCGCCGCCCCTGCTCCACCCTGTCCCATGTCCCTCTCTCTGATCGCCTGCCAGGCCCCTGCCCAACCGCCTCCCGGGTTGGCCGTCGCCTCCCGGGCCTCGGTACAGGCATTACCGGTGTGGGCAGCTGCTCCTGGGCCGCTGAGGACCGACTTACACTCAGGCCCCACACTGCCCCGGCCAGTTCCTGATTCCGCGCTTCCTCCTCCTGTGGTTTCAGTTGGCCCAGGCCCCGGGGCGGGCCGGCTGAGGGGAAGGGGCGGGCAGGAGCCCCGACGCCTGCCCGCCCCCCTTGCCCAGCGCCGGCCGCTGCCTCAGCTGCCGGCCACACGGGCCCCGCGGAAACGGAAGGGAGGAGGGGGCTGGGAAAGAATGGCCCAGAAGAGAGCAATTTGCCCCGGGCACTCCCCAGGGCCCAGACAGCGCCCCGGGGGGACAGCCCAAGGGTGCTTGGGGAGCGCTGGCACAGGGCAGGGCTGTAGGCTCTGCGGTGGGCTGAGAGGGCCTCGGGGCCCAGAACCTAAGGGCAGGCGGGCAACTTGAACAGCACACCAGGGACGCCCCAAAGAGGCAGGGGGAAGGCTAGTCCAGGCCTTTCCCACCCCACTGGATTCCCCAAGGAAGGCTCAGGCGCCAGCCTCTATTTGAATAAAATTTCCTAGTAAATACCCCGAGGAGAGGCCTACTTCTCAGGCACAGATCCTGGTGGAACTGGCCTGGCTCCTCTCCTCACCACAGGCAGGGGTTTCCTGTCCCAAGGGAGACCTGGGGCAGGCGAGGGGCCTGCGCCAGAGTGTGTGTCTGGGCCGCTGGGGTGGGGTGGGGTGGGGGGTATGGTATTTCCAGTGTGGGACTCAGGTTCTCCCCAGCAAAGCCTATCTGGATTCAGTTAGGCTCCACCAGAGGCCTCAGCCCTACAGCTGGTGGCCTAGGTGCTTCAGCCAAGGGACACCCTGAGCAACTGGACCCTGGGCCATCGCTCTCCACCCAGCTGGAGGCAAGGCCTGTGGCGGAGGAAGTAAGTGCTCAGCTGGTTCCACTCTGGGGCCTCATCTGTCCCACCCCTGGGGCTTGTCGCCAGCTACTGTCCCTTCCACACCCTCCTAAACCCCTCAGGAGATGGACTTTGGGCAGCTAGAGCAGGCAGGACATCATGTGGGCACATAACTCGCCCCAGCCCTCACCCCCACCCCATCCTGGATGCAGCCCCACAGTCCTGGGAAGAATATCACACACTGGAGACCAGGTCTGGTTTGCATAGTCTGCACGTTTAATCACTTTAAAACCTCTAACATTATCTTGTGTCCATTAAATAGAACCAACAATGCTGGGCCTGTTTAAATTACAAGAAAAAAAAAATCACTGTGCACCAACCCAGTATCTTACAAAACCAGCTGGGCTGGCCACGGGAGGGGGGGTGGGTGTGGGAAGGAGGGGGCACCTCTGGGCAGGTGGCTGGGTGCCAGGAGGGGCTGGGAGAGAGAAAGAAAGAAAAGGGAGCTCCCAAATGGGAGGGGACTGATTGTCCTAATGGAAGGGGTGCAAAAGGCACGTCAGAAGAGGGAGACTTGGGGGGCAGGACAGGTCAGTGCTTTCTCCACCAGGGCACAGTGTTGGAGGGGGCTCGGTGCCACTGCCTGCCCACCCCTGGCACTTGGAGAACCAGTGACCCGTGAGCCCTTGGCACGACGAGCCCCATCTCAAATGGACGATAGCCTGCCCCTTCCACCGTGATCCTCCTTCCCTAGGGCCCACTTGGCCTGGCCTGCCTCGTCAGTATCTGGGGCTCAGCTGCAGCCCACCCCCCACACCTCAGGCCCAGGGCAGCCGAGGGCAACAGCAGGGTGGACAGTGGGTGTGGGAGGGTGGATGGTCCAGCTGCTGCTACCCCCGTTAAAAATACAAAAAAAAAAAAAAAAAAAAAAAAATCAGCATCTAAAGTGAAATAATCACAAAGTGAAAATATATCCTCAAACAGCCCCTGAGATCCCCACAGGGGAAAGCAGCATCGGGTGGGAGGCGGGAGAGGCCGGCTGGGCCACCGTCCCTCCCCACCACCCACCCAGGGGCTCCAGGGCTGTGAGTGCCAACAGCCCAGAAAGCCCCGGGCTCAGAAAACAGGGACTCGGGCCCTGGCGGGAGGGGGGAGTGCTGGAGAGGGGAGGGTGGTCAGCACACCAGCCTGGGGCCGGGCCAGCCTCGCGAGGCAGGCAGCCCGCCCGCTGTAGTGGAGGTGGGCAGAGGGCCGAACGCACGTGGGCACACACGTGCGTGCCCCGGAAGCGCCTGCCCGGCCTTGGTCCCCGTCCTTCGCTCACTGCTCTTGCCTGAGGCTCACCAGAAATGCAGAACAGGGTCTGGACGCAGAAGCCCTTAGAGAGGTGGCAGCCTCCTTCCGATACCCCCTAGGCCAGTCTCCTGCTGCCTGGATGGGGCCCATTATTGCTTTAGAGGGACGGCGAGACGGCGAGAGGCAGGGGCCGCAGCCCTGGTCAGGAATCCCGGGAGGGCCGCCCCTCTTCACCGGGCGCTCTGGCTGGGGCCTGGACCTTGGAAAGCTGCCCTAAAGGTTTCATTCCTTTCTCCACAAGGAGGGCTGCTGCGGGTGGGGACAGGCTCTCCCCCTATCCCCCGACACCCAGCTGGCCCTGGGGTCCCACCTCAGGCCGCCAGGGGGCCCAAGGGTAGGGTGGGAAGCTGTTTCTGCCCCTCTTGCCTCCCGACTGGGGTCCAAACCCAGTCCCAAGATAAAAAAATACTTTGGTGAATTAAAAAGTGCCCAAGGAGGGGATGGGCTCGAAGGGGCCGGCAGTAGGCGCTCGTCAAAGGGCGCTCTGGTCTTTGATAAAGGCGGTCCTCTCGCCCCGGCCCTCGTCCTCCTCCGAGTCGGACGGGCACTCCTCCTGCCAGGCTTCGGGGGGCAGCCCCTTGTAGGAGATGAGGCCGCGGTCCATGGTGTACACTTTCACCCCTCGGAAGCTGAAGCCCGAGCGCAGCTGCAGGACCAGGAAGACGGTGACGAAGACCAGCACGATGAAGGCGCAGCTGAGGCCGGCCACCACCTCGGGCAAGTGTGAGGGCAGCAGGTCCGCCCGCAGTCGCGGCTCCACCGCTACCTCCGCGGGCGGCGGCCCGGGGGGTGGCGGCGGCCGCGGGGGCGGCTGCTGTTGGGGCGACTCGCGGCTGCTCTGGCTCTGGCGCGAGCACTTCCGCTCCACGGGGTCCAGGGAGGCGTGGCTGGGGCAGCTGAGGCAGTCTGTGGGGGCGGGGCCCTGGCACGTGGCGCACGAGGTGTGGCAGGGCGTGCAGACGCTGGCCCGGATGATCTCCACGTCGTTCTCCGTGCTGTAGTGTGTGTCCAGGACCTGGGGAGCGAAGCCTGGGGGACAGTGCTGGACGCAGTTCTTCTGGTGCAGGGAGAAGCCTTCCTCGCACACTGCCCGGCAGGAGAGGGAGGGAAGGTGGGCGTCAGCCAGGCCGCCAAGGCTGCTGGGCCCTGAGCCCCAGGACCTGGGCAGCCCTGGACACAGTCACTGCTGTCCCCAGGAGCTCCCAGCCCCAGAACCCAACCCAGGGCCCCAGGATGTCCCTTCACATCCCCGTTCCTCCTTTAGGAGGGGCACCGTCTATCCCCCACGTCTCAGGTCCCCAGCCCCCTCGGCGCCCAGGACTCACCCACACAGGCCTGGCCGGAAGCGAGGGTCTTGCAGCCGGCGCTCTCGGCGGGCGTGGGCAGCCCCTCAGGGGCCGTGCCGTACAGCACCAGGGTGAACTTGGTCAGCGTCCCTGTTGAGGGGCGTGGCAGAAGTCAGGAGGCACCGGCAGCATGCCTGCCCCCACCCCCAGACCCCACCAGTTCTTCTCCTGGACCCCCGGCCCGCAAGCGGCCCCCAGTACCATAGTTGTTGGCTTCGCTGGTGTTTTCAATCTCTAAGACCCACTCGCCAGAGGGATCCTCATCCCAGGAATGGGTCGTCATGAAGGCCCAGTCGTTAAACCCATCTGCAGAGTAGTCGTGTGGCCTGGGGAGGAAGGTGCACCCGGCTGCCTGAAGCCTCCAGGGGGCCCCAGCCAGGGGGTGCCAAGCCCATAGCACGTGGACCACACACCCTCCCCTGGTGCCACACCAACCCTGCCGGGCTGGAAAGGCCTGCTGGTTATTTCCCAGCAGGCCAAATGTTCTTAGCTGGAACACTCTGGAAGCATGCAAGGGAAAACTACATGCAGACTATACACGGGAAGGCACACAGATGTGGCATGTAATGGGCAGATGCAGGGACTCCTGCAATATGGGACAGTCCCATAGGACGAAAACCATCCCTCCCCAAAACGTCAATGTTTACCCCATGGAGAAGTATTCGTGGACCATCGGGGCTGTGTGAGTCAATGAATGAATGCGTGTGGACCCAAGGGACAGGACAGGCTGGGTGGGAGAGAGGGCAAGTACCTGGCGGCCAGCAGGGTGGAGCGGGTGCCCATTGGGCTGATCAGGTGGATGGCAAGGTCACCACGGCGGTTGTAGGACAGGGTGAGCCGCGCCTGAGCATGCTCTAGCCGTGTGATGTGGCTGGGCTCCCCCAGGCAGGCGGTCACGGTCTTCCGCACCTCCAGCCGCTTCCCGATGTCCCTGCAAGGAGCACGTGATGGGCTGTTGGGCTGGGTGGGTGCAGCAGGCACCCTGGCGACCCTTGGGTCCAACCTGCCCCTCCTCCCAGCCAGGGTCCAGCCCTCACTTGGGCTCAGTGAGGATGTCGATGATGCATTTCCGCTGGGGGGCCACCGTCGTCCAGTTCTGGGCCAGAGCCACCATGGCGCCGGCATCCAACAGCCCATAGCCGTACGAATGGCTCACTGTGGGGCAAGAAGGACGGGTCAGCTGGGGGGGGGGGGTGGCGCGCAGAGTGGCCCCCCCAGGACCCTCAATCCAGCCCAGGAAGCACGGTGCCCTCACCTTTGCGGCCCACACCGTTGGTGGCCCAGTCATTGGCATTGAGGTGGGCTGGCTTTGAGGTCCGGACCACCAAGTGCTGCATGTCCCGCCAGGTGAGGTTCTTACTGCAAAGGAGGGACCGAAAGGCTCAGTCTCTTCCGAGACTCCAGCTGGAATCTGAGGGCTGCCCTGCAGCGGGCGCTGGGCAGGGACAGGCTTGCCCCTCGGTCCCCACCACTCACTTGGCCTCCAGGGTGAGAGCGATGATGCCTGCTGCCAGGGGGGCAGACGCAGAGGTGCCCGTGTGAGACTCTGTACACTTCTGCCGCAGATCAGTGGTCACCTACAGGAGGATGACGACGTCGGGCATGTGACATGGGGAGGACACCAGAGGGGCCACCTGGCTGCCCTCCCTCTGCCCACAGGCCCTGAGCACCATAAATGGCGTGGGAAGCCAGGGCCAAGATGCCTCGTTCCCACTTGCTGCCTTGCTAACTCACTGCCAACAGGCCAATGCCTGGCTCTTTCTAGGTCTGTTTCCCAAAGAATAAGAGGGTTGAATTAAGGGTTGGAGATCACTGAGAGCAACGCAGGGCTTCCCTCGTGGCTCAGTGGTATACAGAATCCGCCTGCCAATGCAGGAGACATGGGTTCAGTCCCTGGGTCGAGAAGATCCCACATGCCAGGAACAACGTGGCGCTGAGCCCACATGCCCAAACTACTGAAGCCCAAGCACCCTAAAGCCCATGGCAACTAGAAAGTAGTCCCCGCGTGCCACAACTACAGAAAAGCCAGAGAAGCAACAGAGACCCAGCACAGCCAAAAACACATACATAAATGAAAATGTAAGTCACTCAGTTGTATCCCAACTCTTTGCAACCCTATGGACTGTAGCCTGCCAGGCTCCTCTGTCCATGGCATTCTCCAGGCCAGAATGCTGGAGTGTGTTGCCATTCCCTTCTCCAGGGGATCTTCTCCATCCAGGGATCAAACTCATGTCTCCTGCATTGCAGGCAGATTCTTTACTGTCTGAGCCATCAGGGAAGCCCAAATGGATTGTTAAAACAAACAAAAAATGAGTGTGATGCATGTTTTTAGGGAGAGTTTTATCAGGGGCTTCACCAGTGGCTCTGTGACCCTCAAGAATCTTAGAGAGGTCCCCTAGCTCCACACCATGATGCCTTCACCACCACCGCCCAGCCACATGTGGGTAGAAGGCAGATAGGGTCAGAAAGGCGGCCCCAGGCAGAGCCAGAAAGCGAGCAGCCCCATTTCCCCAGCCCCCTCCTGGGAAGAGACTCACAATCTGCTTCTCGTTCTGGTTGCCACTGCTGTAGGTGGTGGCCAGTGTGGACGAGCAGGCCTCACTGTACCAGGGCACGTTGCCGAACTGTGTGGCGCTGCTGATGGACAGCGTGTAGATGCTGTTGGTGTAGCCATCGCAATTGCAGCTGTCATGTTCCCGGCCCCCGTTCCCTGAGGCCCAGACAAAGATGGAGCCCAGACCCCCACGGCCCTGTGGACAGAGCGGGTTGGGGTCACACAAGAACAGGACTTGGGGGGAGGGCTGGTGGGAAGATGCTGCTTGAGACTAGGAAGGCTGGAGCATCCTTCTCCAGCGACTCTCTATCCAGCCCCTTCCCCCAGGGAGATCCCTGGTAGAGCTCTCTCATCTCTTTTTACACAAAAAGAGACCCAGTCCACTACCAAATTCCTCAGAGTGGTGATTCCAGACAGGGGTGCTGCATGTTATGCTTAGTCACTCAGTTGTGTGTGACTCCATGGACTGTCCCCTCTGTCCATGGGGATTCTCCAGGCAAGAATACTGAAGTGGGAGTTATGGGCAATTAGCATTTACTTTTCTCTTCCTGTTCTTAACGTTTTAATAAACGTGCTTTGTATAAATTAAACACAAGAATAAATAAATAGAAACAGAAAAACACAAAGAAGAAAGCATGGCAAAGACAGTGCCTACTTTGCCCCCTGAGGCTGGGCCTGGTTTCCAGGGCTGGGCCAGGACCCCCACCTCACCTGGCTGACCCCCCGGAAGAAGGCCTCCTCAGCCAGGTGGGCTGGCCCATCCACGGTCTTGCCGTCGTCCTCAGGGCCCCAGCTGGCACTGTAGATGTGGATGTGGTTGGGGTTCAGGCCCAGTGAGCGTGCCTCCACCGCATCTGTCACTTCGCCGTCCAGCATGCGCACCCCTGGCCACGGAGGGGGGCACGGAGAAAAAGGCTGCGTGGGTCCAGCCATCAGGGGCACCCCCAGGAGCATACCCAGCCCTGCACCCGGAGGGGAGGACAGAGGCTGGTGCTGGGAAACCCTGAGCCCCTGGCTTCTTGGGTGGCCTCTGCCTTTTGAAGACAAGACCCAGGGGAAAGGGGAGATCTCTCCAGCCCTCAACCACACATTCTGGACTAGGACAAGTCTCTGGGGTCTCAAAGGAGCATGGAGCTCAAGGCCCTTCAGGGTGGAAGGTGAGGTTTTAGGGTAACTCCCGCTAAGAAACGATCCCCCCGGGACTTCCCGGGTGGTCCAGTGGTTCAGAACGCGCCTTGCAATGCAGGGGACATGGGTTCGATCACTGGTCGGGGAACTAAGATCCCACATGCCACAGCACAACTAGGCCTGTGCACCAGAACTACTGGGCCAGCGCACCACTGCTAGAGCCTGTGTGCTGCAGGAAACATCCTATGTGCCACAACCAAGACTTGATGCAGTCAAATAAATATTAAAAACAAATAAACACTCCTCCCGCCCTGCAGCACAGGGCCACCAGCAGAAGGCGATGCATTCAGCTCTTTGAGCTGTGACTCTTTGCGGCCCTGTGGCCCTCCCAGGCTCCTCTGTCCATGGGATTCTTCAGGCGAGAATACTGGAGTGGCTTGCCATGCCCTCCTCTGGGGGGGCAGGGGTGGTCTTCCCCACCCAGGGATCGAACTGGAGTCTCCTACATCCTCTGTGCTGGCAGGCAGATTCTTTACCCGCTGAGCCACCTGAGAAGCCCTCTGAGTTGCTAAGAACCCTCTACAGAAGAGCCATGTGGTCAGAAGGATGCACAGCAGGAAAGTGAGGGACACTGATTGGATGGGGAGTGAATGAAGAAGAATCCCACCAGAAAGGGTGGTCCTGAAGACAGGGTGGCCGAGGCCCACACCCACCTCCAATGCGGGCGTTGTAGGCCACACCTACGCCACAGACACCATTGTTGGCCACCGCCGCCACCTCTCCCGCACACCGCGTGCCATGCCTGCCGGGGTCAAGAGCACAGCGTTAGCAGTGGACAGAGCATGGCGGGGCAGCCTGCGGAGCAGGAGGGGCCACACACCCCTCCACCTTAGCTTGCTGTCCCACCTCTGTACAGACACCCCCCGCCACACACACACAGACGCTCTCCACTCTGACCAGACCCTCCCTCAGCACCCCAGCCAGACCAGGACTGTGGAAAAGACTTCAGCCTCTTGGACGGGGCTCATCTGCTTCCTTGGTGGAAATGAGAAGGGAGACAGAGGCCAGGGACTGGTTCTTACCTGTTGTCATTCATCTGCGTGTACCGGGGCTGGGGGTCAGGGTCCTGATCATTGACATCGAAGCTGGCCCCAGGATCCTGGAAGGGAGGTGGCCAGCATAGGGTCAGCCTGGACACTCCAGCAGAGCAGGACCGTCCCTGGACTCCCCTCCCTGCCTCCTCACATAATTGCCTGCCAAGTCTGGGTGGTTCTTCTCGATGCCGTCGTCCAGGATGGAGACCACGATGCCGCGCCCCGTGTAGCCCTGGGCCCAGGCCTCCTTCACATTCAGGTCCCGCTGGGTGATGCCAGACTGCAGAGACACCCACCCCCATCACCCAGCGCTTAGGAGACGAGGTTGGTTGCTGGGTGAGGTCCCTTTGCCGCTCCACAAGCCCCTTCTCCACCCTCCCCTGCTCCTGAGATGCCACCACTGGGCTCCGTGGAATTATCAAGAACTCTGGGAGGGCACTCCGCAAGGCTTAGCAGGATGGGCAAGAAAGAGACAAGAAGCAGACAGAGGCAGACCGACAGGAAGCCTCAGGGTCAGCCCTGCCTGCATATGGGACCCCTGAGTAGAGAGATGGGTGGATGGAGGCAGCCGGGGAGGCCACGTACCAGGTACCACTGCTGGGGAAACTTGGGGTCTGTGGGCTCCTGGTATATGTCCCGTTTGGCCCGTCGCTTTGCCACCTGCTGCTCCAGCCACTTAACCTGTGAAGCAGTGAGGGGGAGACGGTGTAGGAGGGGGAGGAGGGAAAGAAAGCGGGCCTCCGGAGAACCGGAGAATGGAAAGGGAAGGCTGGCAGTGGGAGGGGCCAGGGCCGCACTCACTTGAGGTTCCCGCTGCAGCCGGCTGTGCCGCAGGCGGTGAGGAGACAGGGACCGCTTTGTCACCGCTCGATGCCAGAAGTGGTAATAGTCACCGAAGATCTGTAACAAAGCAGGGAGACTGAGCTGGGCTTTCCATCTGTCAGTCCCTGGAGAGGCGAGGGGGCGGGGGTGGACAACCAGTTGCAAGGGGAGACTCAGGATGGCAGGCTGAGTGGTGGGCATCTGCTTCCTGCCCAGGACCCAGCAAGAAGGTGCAGGTGAGGCTGAGGGGGCCTCACCCACCCCCACCTCCTGGGACACACCAGTCCACTGAGCAACCTAAGCTAGAAGCCCAAGGGCAGGACAAGCCTCCGCTCTCCCCACTGGCCACCCAGGTGGCCCAGAGAAGACAAGCCCCTGAGTTCCCGCGCCAGGTGCCGGCACCCCTGCCCCCACGGGCCCACCCCTAGGTGATGTCCTGAGCTGAGGCCAGCCAGAGGGAGCAACACCTACCTGGCCCAGGTTGAGGAACCCATGCTTGCGTGCCACACGGTCAGCGACGGCTGGGCCTCCAGGAATGTGCACAGCCCAGGTGTTGGTGAAGACCTTCTCTCCGTGGGCATCGGCCACCAGCAGGACCAAGGCTCCCGCTGCTGCTACCACCCAGAACAACCAGGGCCTCAGCTCCATGGGGGGGGACAGGTGGCCGGGACCCCGGAGCCCCCGTCTCCTTGGCCTGGTCACAGGGCCTGGGCTCCGGCGTACCTGCTCACTGCTTGTGGCCCGGGGCTGACTGGTGGGGGCATGGGGCCGAGATGGGCAGGGCTGTGCAGTGAGGAGGCAGGCTGCCGGCTCTGAGGGAAGCAAGGGAGGGAAAGGCAGAGAGTCAGTCCCTCTCTGGGCACGCACTAAAGCTGCCTTCCCACCCCTCAGCTCACTCCAGGCCTGAAAGGGCCTCTGGGGGGTGAGGGGTGAAAACCTGGTCCCCTAACAGCCAGATAGATGGAGCGATGGACCTCTTCCACACACAGGAATACGGAAGAGGGAAGATGAGGATGAAGGCTTGAGTCACTCCAAACCAGAAGCAACAACTAAATAAATGCTTCACAGAATCTAAGTCCAAAAGGTGGGGTATAAAGCAAAAGGTACCCACAATCCCATTTTTGTTTTGAAAGAAACTATTTATACACATACACGTATATTTATATAAAACCACAGGACGTAATCTGGAAGGACACATGCTGACAACGGTTTTCTCAAGACGGTGATAATTACGAGTAATGGTTATTTTCTTCTTCGTGTCGCTGTATGTTTTCCAAATGACTCAGGTATATTTTGTAAAAGGGTAAAATGTGGACTTTTAAAGTGTTTTAATGGGCGGCACCTACACAGCTCACTAGGGCTTCCTGGTTCAGACCCAGCCGTGGGGAGTTACCTGCAAAGACTCATAGCCTCTGGCAAGAAAGAGGGGGCCACCTAAGATGGGGTGTGGGCTCTGGGGGCTGAGCAAGGCAAAGGGGGATCGCAGTGGCTTCACCCTCCCTCTATGGCCCAGGCCATCAGCAAAGTCAGGGGGCCCAGGCTCTCTTTTTACAGTTTCCTGGGAGACGACAGGGCCACCCAGTCCTGGCCTGGAGGCCTGCAGCAGCCCCTTTTGGTGGCTCCACGCCCACCAGCCTTGCGTCATCTGAGCCCAGGCAGCCAGGGCAAACACTGCTGCTGAGCCAGGAGCGCTAAGGTGAGGCTGAATCAATAGTCCGCATGTTGTTTTTCCTCCTTCAGCAAACAGAGAGCGGGACCTCTCCGCCTGGGGCCACATAACTGTCCCCACATAGGGCCCCTGGCTAGCCAGAAGCCTAACCCCTAGGGTGGGGAGAAGCTGGGGAAGGTCCTGGAGGTGTCCCGCCTTAACACCAAGCTTGTTAAGCCTGCCCACACGGCCCTGGTTGCCCCCACCCCTCCTGGGCCCAGCCCCACAGGACGTCACTCTGCTGGACAGCAAAGTGAAGCTCCGCAGCCCATCCAGGCCCTGGGGAGGCAGACCAGAGGGCTCACCACTGGGAAAACTCACGTTGCCCGGGGCTGCCCTCAGCACCCCCAGCCCCCCTGCCTGCTCCTCCTGTACTCCCACCCTGCAGGCTGGAGAGCTTCAACTCACAATTCCTGGAGTATTTTCAGTTTACACCAAAATAACCTGACAGCTGATGGCAGGAGGCACCCACAAGGCAGCTCCTCCTCACCCCCAATGGGCAGAGTCCATAGGGTTCCCGGACGGGCCGGGAAGCCACTGCCCCATGATGCCTTGGGCGACCAAGTTCCAGAGAGCTGGTCTGAGCAAAGGCTGGGCAGCCCTTGGGGAGGGTGAGGGTTGGAGGCGGGGGTTGAAGGGGCCCTGTGCCCCTCACTCACCAGAGGATGTAGAGCCCTAGAGGCAGGGCCTTATAGAAACAAGTTCTCATCTCCCCTCCCTGACACCAGAACTGCCTCTTGGGTTCAGACGTCAAGCAAGGCCATCTCCTGACCACAGTGCTGTGAGCCATACTGTACCCCTCCACACACACACATCAAGACCAGGTTCATCTGGGTCTAGCCCAAGTTCTGGCATATTGTGGGTGGAATCGCAGCTGCTTGGTGATAAAGGTGATTATTTAATTACCTTGCAGCACCCGAAAAGGAAGCGGGCTTCAGGCACAACCAAACAATCCTTCAAGAAAGGACTGGCTTCCATCTGCTCAGCATCCCCAGACACATTGAGCCGTGGATATGACCGCTTGAAGCCGTCTCTCTTCCACAGAGCTTGAAGCCCCAAACAGCCCTGCCTCAGCATCCTGGAAGCAGGGAGGATGGCCCCCACCTCAAAGAACAGGCGCTGAGAACAATAAATGAATGGGCTGCTTCTCCCCACCCCCATCCTAGATTCTGACTCACCCTCTGAGTCCCTGTTCGGCTTAAACCGGTACGCTTGCCATATTTCCAGCCTCCTGTGAAGCCCTCTATGGGGCTCTACTCCAGGCCTGGCCACAGAGAGACCTGTGGGTGCTCTTCCTGGCTGTGTTCTCTTCTCCCGCCCCAGGAACCTCCTGACGCAGCCAGCCTCTCCAAGGCGTCCGCACTGAACCTCACCCAGGTCCGGCTGCTGTTTCCCAGGCATCGGGGGGTCTGGCGTGGTCAGGGCTGCCTGGGAAAACTGGTTCCTTCTTTCCAGCAGAGACACCAAACCAGCTCCTGTAGCAGGCACTGATGGCTCCCCTGAAATTCTGAATCCCAGCCTTTGCTCAATTACTCATTTGCTGTGTGATCTTAGGTCACTTCCTCTCTCTGTCTGGGCCTCAGTTTTCCTAGGTGGTAAAAACTGCTAGACCAGAGGTTTTCAAACTTTTTTTGAAAGCCACAGAATCCTCTTTAAAAAAAAAAAGAAAAAGAAATCAAATCTTACGTGGAAGCCCAATATAGGACATCAACTTGGGCGGCTCTAGAACAGGAGTCAAGCTTGGCTCCTCTCCTTGGCTGTCTCCACACCTGGCCAGCGGCTGCCCAGCCCTCACTAAGCCACATCACCTGGGTTTCCCTCTCATTTCCCGAGGCAGAAAGAATTTCGACACCCTCCTGGGGAGGAGGGTCTGCATCTCGGGGGGTAAGGGGTGAGCGGACGGGAAGGAGGCACTGACCTGACAACCGACTGCTGTTAAGACCTGTCTGGCAAGCAGGCCACCCCACGCGGGCAGCAAGGGCCTCGGCCAGGCCTTCGCGGGAGCCAGCCTCCCCGCGCCCGCAGAGCCCGCACCTGAGTGTCTCGCCGCCCAGGTGTGCGGGCGGGGACGAGGCCCAGGCTGTGAATAATCCCCTCCGCCGCGAGTAGCCGCTCCGCCCCTCCCCCGGCGGGAGCGCAGGCCCTCCCCAGCCACGGAGTGGGCGAGCCGGCGGCGGCTGCCCCCAAGGACGACGGGGAGGCGGGAGCACCCGGCGCCTCTGGAATCCTCTCCCCATCCCGCCCCCGGCGGGGGCCCCCGCGGGCGCTTCCTGGGGTCAGAGGGCTCGCCCCGGCCCCAAGCGGAAGAGCACCGGCAACCGCGGGGCCCGGCGCGCTCAGGTGGGCTGCGGGATGCCCTTCCTGCTCCCCGCGGCTCCACCTTCCTCACCGGCCCGCGGGCCAGTTCCGAAAGCCGGGCGGGCATCTGGGCCCGGGCTGCCTCTGCGCCAGCGACCCCGACCCTCTCCCGGCCTGGGCGCTCGAGCCGCGGAGCCCGCTCCTCCGGCAGAGCGGCCCAGTCTCCTCGGGCCCGGCTCCCGGCGCGCTGCCTCCCCCCGGGGCCCCGCGCCCTCGCTGCTTACCCTAGGGAGCCCGGGCGGGGAAACTTTTCCAGGCGAGCGCCGGGGCGGCTCAGGCGCCCCTCGGCCGAGCGGAGAGCCCGGCTCCTGGGGGCCTGGGCTAGGCGCGGTCCCCGCGCCCGGCAGCAGCGTCACCGCGGCCTCGGCCGGGCCGGCGACCAGGGCAGGGCTCGGCCTCCGCTCCGGCTCCGGCTCCGGCGCGGGCGGGGGCAGCGGCCGGGCCGCGGCGGCGCGGCTTGTTTACTCGGGCCGCTGTCAGCGGCTGCGGCGGCCCGGGCTCCTCCTCCTCCGCCGCCGCGCCCCTCCCCCTCGCGGCGCCACCTCCGCGCTCCCGGCCGCCGCCGCCGCCGCCCAGCCGGCCCGGCCGGCCGCGCCGCCCATGCCGCCCGGGCCCGGGCCCGCGTTCCGAGCGGGAGCGCCGGGGCCCCGAGGCCTTCCGGGGCGCCTGCCGCCTCGGGCTCCAGCTCGGGGCAGAGGTAGGAAGTGGGGCGGCGATCCCAGAGCCCTCGCAGCCGCTCGGCGGGTCCCCCAGGCCCCACTGCCAGCTCCCCCGCCCCCCACCTCCCCGGGGTCGGCTGTTAGCCCCGCGATCTCCCCGGGCCGGCGGGCGAGGAGACCTGAACTCGGCACCCCGGGCAGAGGTTGGGAAGGACTCGAGGCGTCACTATGAGCCCAGTCTCGGCCGGATTCTGGGGGAGTTGGACTTCTCCCCCACCCCCCGCCACTTCCCCACTCCTAAGCCACGAGTTTGGGCACGACCGGGTTAAGTGCTCTGGGATGACGCACCTGGAGTACCCCCCTTGAGGTCGGGCTTCACCGCGTCTGGGCAGACTTCCTCGTGGCCTACAGTTAGAAGACTCACGACTTTATTTGCATTTATATAGACAGGTGGATGAGCAGAACAACTAGCCCATCCCCTTTTAATTTTTTTAAACTTTTTTTTTTCAACTCCAACTGCCTGCCAGGCACCAGGTCAATCACTTTATATTATCTCCTTCTTATGTACATTATTTAATCCGCATAATCCTTTCATGCTGACATCATTAATCCCATTTTACAGATAAGAAAACTGAGGCGCACAAGGTTTAAATAATTTGCTGAAGGTCCCACAACTAACAGGCCTCAGATCCCAGAAGAGATCTGGGGCTTTGGCAGAGCCTGAATCTGAGCTCCTTGCAATATACCACCCGGCTCCTCTCCCTCCCTGGGTTCCTGCCCTAGAAAACGTCTGTGCTACTTGGCTGAGGCCATCACTGCTTGAGCTGAGAAAGAAAAGAGGGGAAGTGTGGCCAAGAGCTCCACAGGCTGGGTTATTTCAAGGTCACAAAGCAGTCTCTGCCCATCCCTTCCTGCCCCCTTTG